GCCCTTCTTTGTTTCTTTTATAGCCTAGTTTTTTTTGGTTTTTTTTTTTTTAAGTCTTTATTGAATTTGTTACACTATTACTTCTGTTTTATGTTTTGGGCCATGAGGCATGTGGGATCTTAGCTCCCTGACTGGGGATCAAACCTGCACCCACTGCATTGGAAGGTAAAGTCTTAACCACTGGACTGCCACAGAAGTCCCTATATCCTAGGAGTCTATTTTGTCTGATATAAGTATTGCTACCCCAGCTTTCTCTACATTTCCATTTTCATGAAATACCTTTTCCCATTCCCTCCTTTAGATAAATACCCAAAAGTGGAATTGCTGGATCATATGGTAGCCCTATTTTTAATTTTTTTGAGGAAACTGTTTTCCATAGTGGCTGCATCAATTTACATTCCCACCAACAGTGCACATGTTCCCTTTTCTCCACCTTTTCACCAACATTCGTTATCTTGTCTTTTCGAAAATAGCCACTCTAATTGGCGTTAGGTGATATCTGTGATTTGGATTTGCATTTCTCTGATTTTTAGTTATGTTGATCACTTTTTCATAAACCTTTTGGCCACTTATACATCTTCTTTGGAAAAATGTCTATTCAGAGAATCTGCCGATTTTTAAATTGTTTTTTATTAATTTTTAATTTTTTGCTATTGAGTAGTATGAGTTCTTTATATATTTTGCATATTAGCCCCTTATCAGATATATGATTCGTAAATATTTCCTCCAGTTCTGTAGGTTGCCTTTTCATTTTGTTGATGGTTTCCTTTGCTGTGCAGAAGCTTTTTAGTTTAATATAGTAAACCCCATTCGTTTATGTTTGCTTTTGTTGTCAAAACAAAAAAATCATTGCCAAGACAAAAGTCAAGCAGTTTACCACCTACGTCTTCTTCTAGTTTTATGGTTTCAGGTCTTAAAATTTGGGTTGCCAGATGTGAGATTCAATCTCTTTGCTACTCAGGAGTAGCTAGGAGTTGAGCTCCCTCTTGATTATGAGTTGCTGAGCAATGGTGTGGGGTTTATTGTGGGACTGTATCAGCCTCTCTTACCCATTTTGATGTGGGTTTTTTCCTCATTTGCCCAATGTATACAAGTTGCTAGTTTTCAGATATCTTTCAAAGGATATTGTTCCATATTTAGTTGTAGATTCAGTGTATCCATGGAAATAGGTGAGTTCAGGTTCCTCCCACATCACCATCTTGAACAAGAACCAGCTTATCAATATTTTCTAAAAATTTTGAACATACGTCACTTTTATGAAAAGGAATAAAAGGCTTTATTATTTCTTTAAACAGGATAGAGTATAAGATTTTTATTGCTATTATATTTTATGACTCTTGGATAGACAGGTAACATTCAAGGGACATCTCAACAGATGAAATTTCTGAATTGCTATAAATGTCCGTTGCAAAACTGAGCCAAGAAAAAACTGAGGCACTAAGACACTACTCTAACAGGTAAACATTGATCTAGGAAAAATCTTTCAGCAACTTAGGAAGTAACAACTTGGGAATGAAAATGAAAGATAATTATTAACAATTAGCATGAGTTCACTAATGAAACATTATATCAGATAAACTTTCCCTTCTTCCTTTTGTTTTGTTGTTGTTATTGCTATCATTAACGTGTACCATGGGAAGTATGTCTAGATTTAAGCTGAACATTTTGCAAAATCAAAACATGGAAGAGTGGGCTGAATAATAGATTTATTACTCATAATTGGTTAAACGAAATACGTGCAGATTCATTTCTCCATGTGCTTGCACTTCCCAGTGCAGGATGAAGCTGGGAGGGATAAGGAAGGGGAAGAAGAGGGGTGTGCTTTGGGATGTGGTCTTCTACTCTGTGTCTGGACCCGCAAATATTTAGGGCAGGTTAGCCTTGTCTCTGCTGAAGCAGCATCAGCATGACCAGTTTTGGGGGATAGCTTAGATTCGGCATTATAAGAGCCTTTCAATCATGATATTTTGATTCTTGGACTAAGTTTATTATCAATTAATCTAGACGTGGATAACAATAATCTATACAAATTTCTATGAGGGTTGAAAAATTTGTCTGAAGTGTTTATGGTGATATCAAACTTCAGAATGCCTCATGTAGAATAAATTAACTACTGATGGCATAGAGAAAAATAATCAACCCAATATAACTCAGGTTCCACCTTAATAAAATTAGCATTTTGAGAATCTACAGTAAACTTTAGTTGGCTTTGTTTATATATAAATAGACATGACTTGGACATATGTTTAAAAAATTTTGATTTCTCACAATAAACAGGTGGGGTTTTCTATTGTTTTACTTGCTTTATTATATCCATGACACCATCTAAGTTAAAATATGACTTACCTAGAGATGATCTGAGACTAGTTTTCCTCAGCTTTTTTCAACTTCATATTTCAATTCAAAGTGAATATCACTAAAATTTCTTTTAACAGAAATTTTAGTGAGTGTACCATCAAATGTACCATTCAAACCACTGAGCGTAAGCTGAGTGAGAAGCAATTATTTAGGAAACATGTCTGTTTGCAATAATAATATAGTTGAGCATTAGTTATCTAAGTTTTGTTTTTTTTTTTAAAGATGATGTCTTTTACATATGATATTCCATATCAACAAACAGTTTTTTGGGACTTATTTCCATAACATACAGTATGTGCTAAGCATGTTGAAAAAAGTTGAAATATGTACTGGCTGTAATATTACCAATTTTTTTTCTTTTTTTTTTTTTTTTGCAGTACGCGGGCCTCTCACTGTTGTGGCCTCTCCCGTGGCGGAGCACAGGCTCCGGATGCGCAGGCTCAGCGGCCATGGCTCACGGGCCCAGCCGCTCCGCGGCACGTGGGATCTTCCCAGACCAGGGCACGAACCCGTGTCCCCTGCATCGGCAGGCAGACTCTCGACCACTGCGCCACCAGGGAAGCCCCCCAATTTTCTTTTCAGATAATTCCTCCTTATCATATACCCTTCTCCTTTCCACACCTCTTGCTTTATACTCATGAAAATGTAGTGTTCTGTTACATACAGAGAAAATGCAATGATGTTACAGACCAATGAGATGAGTGAAAAAAATATTTAATTTTTAACCATGCTGGCTTTTAAAAAAATTGTATTAAAAATGCTATGTAGACCAGTTTCTATATAAATATATGATCTAATTTTTTACAATAATTCAGTTAGAATATTAATATTTGCATGCTGGAAAACTTTTGAATGGAGGCTAGATATTGTGAATATTATTACCATGTCAGGTGATGCACACTTTGTATTCCTATTAATATTCTTGAGGTCTGTTCTGGAACATAAGTTACTTAGAAATAGTTCTCCTGGATATTGCTTGTTAAACTTCATTAAGCAGGACCAATGCAGTATTTAATCCAGGGCTAACTGGTTCCAACTACTTAGGCAAAACTGAGTACCCACTGACCCATGAATTATGAGGTTTTTCACTGTGGCTGATTGGAGCAGGCACTACTTCTGTATGCAGTTTGATGATTGTTCCAATTTTTCAGGTGGTTCTTTCATTGGCTTCATGCAGTTTTCTCACATGCATGCACCAATCTCTGCATATCTCTGGGGTTTTGGTACAGCTCTCTCCCCTCCAGACTTTAGCTGTCTTGGTTTCCCTGGTCTCTCAGCCCTGACTCCTTAATGAGGAGCTTCCACTGCATTTCCCCTCCATATGCCACTGCCCAGAAATTCTCCTGAGGCAGACAGCTGGGTCAGTCCCCGGGTTCATGTGTTTCCTCTTAGGGATCACTTCCTCCATTGACTGACACACAATGTCCTGAAAACATTTCATCACAATGAAAACACTGTATGAATCTGTTGTTTCATATATTTTTGTCTTTTTCTTGTTTTAGGTGGAAGGATAACTCTAGTACTTGTTATCCATGTTAGATGAAAGTGGAAGTCTTCATATGCAAGCTGCAAACCTGAATCATATGCCAGGAAGCTCTTTGTGCCACCCACTCCTCCCTTTTATAGTCCATATCCTACTCATGCTATCTTGTTGATGCATCTTTTGAAAGGTCTCTCAAATATATGCTCCTTTTGATCCTGGGTTAACCACCTCTATCTAGACTATTTCATACGTGCTTTATTGCTAATAGTCTCTGAAAAGATCTTCCTGGCTCTATCTAGTCTTCAATCATCCCACAAATTTCTATTACAGATTTTTTTTTTTAACTGCTGTTTTCCCAGAACCTAGAATCTGACGTATATTGGTACTTGACAAAATTGCTGAATTAATGAATTGCTCTTCTTTTACAACCAATTTATTAGGTATTTCCTGGGCTTTGAAAGCCCTAACTACTCCCCTCTGACCACAGGTCAAGTCCAAGCTGAGGCTGCCAATCAATGCTTTACATAATCGTCTATCCATCAACTTAGGTGAACCCTGTCAACTCCCTAGAACAAGTGATTCATTTCTCACATGTGTCTTACAGCCATTATTAACTTCAAACCTTTTCTCACATGTTCCTTCCATTTTGCCCCTTGAATTTTAACCATCCTCAAATTCCTTCCTTTCTCATGTTCATACAGCACTCGCCCCCTCTGAATTCTTATAGCATCTATTCTTTGTGATTGAGCACTTTCACTGTCTCCTATTTGAGTGCGTGTTTTTTTGCCTTGTGCATGTTTATATTTTGTCTTCCCAAATGGACCAAATTTTGGAGAAGTAGGAACTCTCTTTTACAATTTCTTTATATACCTTAAGGCACAGTAGGTACCTCAATAGGTATTTTAAAAATGAAGGCAGAGATCTTGATTAACTGACACATGCTGTAAATCACTTATTTATAGTAAATTGATGTCTCACTCATCACATGCCATTTTGTTGTCCACCTTGTGAAATGGTACCATTGGTGAAAATCACCTCACAATAAGGTCTTTTGGGTTTTAAATCAAGGCCTATCTTATTGGGTCAAGATCTAGAGTGTATTTCAGCTTATTATTTACCAAATTTTTATTTATCAAATTAAATACTGTGCCCAAGTCTCTACAAAATAATTTAATATTAGGGATGTTATAGCAAATCATACTTAAACAGCAATGAAGGAAATCCTGATATCACATAGCCAGTGAACATAAACTGGTATTTATTTATGCAAACATACTATAAAATTCCTCTAAATCTTCAAAAAAAAAGTTATGTCGCCATATAAAATGGGAAAATCTAAAGTGAATATTAAGATTTCATTTTTAGTTCATAAAAAATATTGAAGTAAAATTCCTTGCCCACAAACACAGAAGAGTTAACCAGAGTGAGAAAATGCAAAAGAACATCAGTTTTTTGCCTTGGAAAAGGCATGTCTATTTTTTAAAAAGTGTTTTAATTGATAGGAACTCCAATAAAAAAGACTAAATTTTTCTTGTCATAATGACATCTTGGAAACCTACACAGCTTTCCCATCAACTAAATTTAGCACACACAAAATAAACTCCCCATACAGAATACTTTTGCCCTAGAAAACAGGTAATTCACATTCTGATAAAGAGCAAAAGACAAGTGCTTTATTATGAGAACTGTTCAAGTAAAATTTCAGTGTGCACCAGTGAAGGTGAATGAAGATTTGCGTCAATTGTTTTGAATGAACACTAGGTTAAAAAGGGGCTACACAGTTGTTGGGCTTTTTTTTTTCCAAACACCATCCTTTGCTAAGGCAAAAATACACTTCGTTTTAGAACAGAACTTTACAGAAGAAAGCTACATCACACTACAGTACAGGTCACCCTAGTCTGGAAGCCATCATGGAATGGCACATCACCTACGCTTAGAGCTTTCTAATGTAGGCTAGAATTACAGTATTTAATCACAGCTTCATTTTCCTTTAAACTGATAAAATTGGAATACACTTTCTATTTCTCAGGAGTGTGAAGATGGGGCCCATATGCTGATATTACAGTAATTACAACATTAAATAACATTGCACAGTCAACCTCCAAGGCTAATTCAGTAGAAAATAACAAGTATTAAAATGTACCTTTACTAGTGGTTTTACATCGCATGTATCACTAATTATGAAAGAAAAGTAGGCAAATGCCAATTACAAAGCTGCACATTATAGGCACAATGATGTGGAATAAATACAAGAAATCTGGCAAAATATTAAAAACAAACAGGTCACATGGGAACCAACTGAACAACCACATAAGCGTAAATCAATAATACACTGCTATAAATAGCATGTTTTGCTCGGAAGTCTCTTAAGTAATGACAGATATGTGCCGGGGGTGGGTGAAGAGGCTGGGAGGCGCATGAGGCAAATGCTCCCAATGCCAGTTAATTCCTGAGGTGGCGTTATTTCTTAACTGATGCATTGATCAACACTGTAAAGATGAGTTTGTGCGATGAAACAGTCCCAATATTATTGTACTTCCGCAATTAATGCTGTGGGATTTGGAACGGAGGAAACCTAAGTGACATTTTACATTATAATAGCCAGATGAAGTATTGATTCTTTTAAATTTTGCTGCTACAATTAGCAGTGGGCCAGAAAATACTTTAAAGTTCAAAAGAAATTTGATGTAGGTTTAACCTCCTCCCCAGTACTTCTTAGTTAGCTCAAGGCAAAGCTATTATTATTTTCACGTACTTTATTTTAAAAACGCTAAGTGCCAACACTGTAAACATTTTGTATCTTCTCAACTAAACCTTGTCTGATAACAAGGATAAGAGCAAAGATAAGCAGGAGTAGTTCTGTGTATAATAAAGCTGATCTATTTATCAGCTTCTGGTTTAAATTTAAATATGATTTAAAAATAATTTTAAAAAGTCCATGCTATAATTGTAAAGACTATTTCTGTGCACTTTTAATTCTGGACACAACTCTCAACTTTTAAAATTGCATGATGGAGGTAAGAATTTAAAAAACCCACCAGAATGTAAATAACAGAGAGAACATTTTCAACTCAAAGCATCAAACGTACATTTACGTGCAGAAATCTAGACAACTATACAGGTTTCTCAGCAATCATCTGTTTTATTATACAACTCTATAAACAGAAAATGAACAGAAATACACAATATACTTACCTGTACATGTGAACCTACTTTTTTAGCTACACATATTTATTATGGTTCATACTGACTTTAATTTTACAGTTCATAACTATGTATAACCTTATTGCAGTAAGGGCAAAATCTACATGGGGAGATTCACAGGCCGATCACATTAAGCATTGCCAGTACATTCAAAAACTGTACCTCATATATGGATGTATCTTCCCTGATCCTGTATAAATTTGAGTTTCTTTACAGCTTAAGCTCATTTGCTATTTTAGATGCAATGTTCTTAAAGGCAATAGAAGTCCCGGATATTCGCTTGAAGCGCACCCCATTGAGGGACAGCCGTGGCAACTTGCAGACCTCCATCTCCCACTGCACAAGGCTATCCTGCCTGGCATCTCCATGGACACAGAAAAGCAAAAACCTCTCTTTTTGCTCATAATCACAGTTATTTGCGTCTAACACTTTCCGGATTTCTCTCATCATGTCACTGGGGTCCATTGAACTAGTGGTCTTCATACTCCACGTGAACCGCAAAGAACGTGGCTTGGAATCTTTACCCTCGTCCTTGTCTCTTTCTTTTGGTTCCCCTGTTGTACTTCTGGAATAAGAGGACAGAGGGGGAAAAAAATGAAAACAAAAATTCCATTCAGCGAAGAAATCAAAACACACATAAAATCTAAGTGGTCATAAACCAGTGCTTAATAAAACTACCCAGTTTGCAGACTACCTTCAAGCAGATACAAAGATTTGTATCATCTTGCTGTTACAAAAACCAGACTCCAGGACGCCATCTGTTTTGACTTTTATTAATATCTTCCATTTAAAATAGCACATTTTCTTAAATATATTTGTTTGTGGGAAATAAGTTTGCATCCCACAGTAAAAAATTTAGTACTTTTCCTCCATATTTCTCCGTTTAAGTTGGAAAAGGCAGATCCTCCATTTTCTGTACATTTATACAAAATGGATACCACTAGCATGCTGCTTATAAATACACATTTTTGAAATACAATGAAAAATTTCCTTTCTTTTTTACCTTTTCTGGGTAGGAGAAGGACTGGGGACAAGGAGAGCAGTAATGGCTACAGAGGGATTACGTGTACCTGATGATGCTGTGAAAGAACGTGGTACTGCAATGGGGTGAAGATGTCAGGCCACACCACACGCAGGAGTGTAGACATCAGTTCTAATGATTTCAACGTTTTGCTAAAGATATCCTTAAAACAGTCTACAAGGCTCCACGTGACCTATACTCCAACTCCCAACCCCAACTCTTCATCTATTATTTTCCTCCTTGCTCATGCCCATCAAGACACACTGGCCTCCATACTATTCTCCGAACATACAGGGTATGCTCTTGCCTTATGGCTGTAACACAGGCTGTTCCCTCTGCCACGAATGCTTTTCCCTCACATAGATGCATGACTAACTCCCTTACTTCTTTCAAGTTTCTGCTCACTTTCTCCATGTGGTCTACCCTAACTACCCTACTGCACACCCCCAGCTCCTACACTGGCATGGCCAACCTCCTCACCCTGCTATTTTTTCCTCTATAGTACTTATCACATTCTTACATAGTATTTAATTCATTTATTTATTATGTTTATTATTTATTGTCTGTCTCCACCGCTAGATTGCAAAGGCCAGGAGGGTAAGGAGTTTTGTCTGTTTTGTTCACTGATGCATCTCAGGCATTTAGAACTGTGCTGGGCAAACAGTAGATGATTAACACATATTTGTTAAATGAATGAACCTTATTGGGTTTTCCTTATTGTAGGTCTCCCATAAATAATACAGTATCGGAAAACCTACTTCAAATAATCCAAGAAAGGTACAATGCATAGAGTACTTATGATTCAGAAGATGCTGTAATTAAATTTGTTGAGCAATTATCCACAGATGTTACAATTTTAACTTGTTACTCTGTCTCACTTACATGTGATTTAAAGAAAAATATGATGTACTCTGAAAGTTTATATTCTACTATATAAATATTTTGTATCTGTTTATAGATTTTATATCACTACCATATAAAGTATATTCACGTATACATTTATATGTATCAATTTTTATGTATACATTTACATATGCTTTCCTCCTCATTCCTAGATATCTGGGCTGACAGAGCTCTGCCAACTATGCAAGCCTGAGAAAAGCAGGAAAGGAGTAAGTACAGAAAATAAATTTCCAAAGTATGGAGAGTATGTATCTCAGTGGCTTCTCTATTATTCTCTTTTTTTGCTCACTGAATCTAAGCCATGGCATCACAGGCCTCTGGGTGTGCAGATCCGACCAGTATCATTCACTGGGACCACATGTACAATGCGGGCCATGGAATCAGCCTGCTAGGGTGGGGACGCACCCACGACATCACTTGATTGAACGCTCATTTTCAAAACAGAACCGATGGCTAGGAAATGTAAATTACTTTCCTGAGGTCATAGAGCTAATGAGTTGGAAAGCGAAGACTAGAAATCAGATGTTTTATTCCAAGTATAGTTTTCCTTCCATTCCATCAAGGAAACCTGGTGACCTTAAGACAACAGGCACATACAAGATATTTTTCTACCTGTATCTCAAAGGCATCAGCACTGGTAACGTTAACTGTAGAAAGTGCCTGGAAACACTGACACCAATAGTAACAACTAACATTTACTGAGTACTTACTAGGTACCAGGAACTGTTCTAAGTGCCTAACATGTATTATTTACTCATTTACCCCTCTCAACAACCCTAGGAGGCAGTCAGAATGAGGACGCATGGGCACAAAGAGTTAAAGTAACGTTCTTAAAGGTATACAGCGAGGTAAGTGGTACAACACAGCCAATGCCCACGCGGTCTGCTCTTCACCACCGTGCCCAACAATCCCTCTGAAAGGACAGAACCTCACTGTAACTGGTTTGGTCCTCCCGATGCTCCTTACTGCTTCTTCATCTGTAAAATGGATACTTTTCACTTGGTTGTTATGAGGATTAAATGACCAGCCAGTACCTTATAGGTAGTAGGTATCAAATAAGTTTGCTCAAAAGCAAAACAGACAAACAGACAAAAAACCAAAAAGCAAAATTCAACCATGACCAAACAAAAGAGACACGTAGTCACATTAAAAAGATAAATGCATGCAGATTAACTGCAACATCAGCAGCGACTTGTGACCCTACACACGATTAAATGTCTCAGAGGAAAATCGAGTAGAAAGACAGGATGAGATGCAAGAAGGGGGCTCAAGACTAAGTGACTAAGTGAGGGAGGAGTTGAAAACGAGAGTCCTGCATGTTTACTCAATAGGCAGAAGGACATTAAAAATATCTGTCCTGCCTCTCCTTGCCTCCCTACTATGGTGATTCAGGTACCTAACTCAAAAAGAAATATTTCAACTGCTATGACTAAACATATATACAGCACAGTTCGTAAAATAAAAAGACTACATAGGAATGCTCGTTAAGGTCTTTCCATAGCTCATTGTGTTTTATGTTTCAAATAATTTTAAAAAGGATAAATTAAACTGAGGCTTGTGGTTAGCTGGTCAAATATAATTCCTGAGTGAAGCTGGGCCTCTGTCCTACTGAGGAACTGCTTGTTAAGGTTCTGAGACTTATACTGGACCCCTTAATGCTGGTGTACACTCGAAATAATTGAATGCCTTCGTTTCTTAAATTTCCCATTTATAAATATGAACACAAGGACTAACATGTCACTAATGTGGGCCCCAGACCAGCGGCATCAGTGCCCCTCCCTGACAATCACAAACCCCGGGGGTGGGGCTCAGCCACCTGCTTCCTCAAGCCCTCCGCCTGATTCTGAATGTGCTCAAGTTTGAGACCCACTGCCAGAACGAATACACAACCAGTATTAAATGTCAAGTAACCCATAAAGTACGGCAGGGCGAGAGTTTTGAAATGTGGTCCACCAATGAAGAGTCCCCTAAAATATATTACTAATATCACATCTTCCTATGTATTTGGTAACCTCCGTGTTCTGCATTATTTGACTGAGACTAATTTTTTTTTTTTTTTTTTGCTGCACCGCGAGGCATGCGGGGTCTTAGCTCCCCAACCAGGGATCAAACCCGTGTCCCCTACGGTGGAAGTGCAGAGTCTTAACCACTGGACTGCCAGGGAAGCCCCAAGACTGATTTTATTTACATCATTTTAGTGAGAAAAGGATCAGTACATTTTAATCTATTAATTCTTCTGCTAAGACATGTCTTTTAAAGGACAGAAAGGCTATAAAGCATACAATTCAAAATAATGTTTAGAAAACACAAACTTAAAGTTAATAAACTTAATAAGTGCTAGGCAACATTAGGAAAACCCATACCAATATAAAATTTTAAATACACATACTATCTAGTTATTAGTTCTATCCATGTTTGTTAAGCGCTGTAAGTATTTCAAAAGTACGTCTTCACACACAGGGACCTATAGCAGCGAAGTATTAATAGTGGCTCCTCACCTTGAAGTGTCGGCTCTGCCACTGGCTTCGCCTTCACTTGGATCCCTCAAAACAAAGTGAAGGTTGAGATTTAATGATAAAAGTGAAAAAAATACCAAGAAAACCTACATCTAAAATGATTTTAAAATAAACTTGTTAAGCAAACTTCTAGCATGACAGATTTCTATGACTAGTCAGTCTAATACCATTTCTTATGTTTTTCATCACAACCACACTTGACTACCATTTATTGAGCGTCTACTGGGTATATTGTCATAGAGGAGATGCTAGGTGATGGTTTAGGATTTTTACGTGATCTTCCAATTCCCAGCCACGATTTTAAAGTCATAATTTACCTCCTGGTTTAGCTTAGGTCAATCTAAAGTCAAAACTGTTTAATAATTATCAACAGCAAGATTTAACTTCATAATGGTTATTAAACATAGTTTGAGTAGTCGCTCAATTTAGAAAAATATAAATTAATCTTGCAGTTAGAAATAAAGCTCAACACATAAGTATTTCTAAAAATAAATACTAGTTTTTAAATATGCAAGTAACTTATTTCAGAAATTATGCTAATGATTCATGCACATGATAAAGTATTATAGCAAACCTAACAGCCTATCCAAGCAGGTGAGTCTAAAGACATGAATTCAAACTTAAACAGAAACATTGATCTTACCTGGACATCCACCTGTGAAGTAAAACCAGGAAAACTCCACTAATTGTTCTTTTGTTGAATGTAATTAGTATTTTTGAAGTCTGCCAAAATTTTAACTGTCATTTTCAAAGGTAATTAAGTATCTAACATAGGAGTATCAAGTTATAAACCAGTTTAAATAGATTAAGAGAAGGCTGGTGATAGCAAAATACTATTAAATAGCTGGAAAAGTCACCAACTTAAACCCTTAAGTCCACATTTTCTTAATGTTTTAACCATTCCAGTAACATTTATATTGTTTACGTAAAATAAATGCAACAGGAATAAAATCAGTGCCACCTTCCTCATTCCCCAAATTAAGAAAATCCAGCAGTACAATAAGCTCTAAAACTTCAACTCATGGTTAAAAATATGAATGCCTTATATGCTTCTCAGGGTCTTTAACTATAGGGCTTTCTTGACAAAAATATTATGTAAAAACCATTTTCCTATCTGAATTAAAAAGGATAATAAGATGTATTCTCACATTCAAATGGGGTTTCTTAAATTTCTATTTTTAATAACTAGCATTTTCATTGGGAAGTATAATAAAAGTTCAAAGCCATCTACATAAATCTATTTTTATTATAGCACACTGAAATAAACGAAACATTTTTTGAGCAGGCTCAAAGTGAAATGTATATTTTGAGTTACATGTAGATGTACTGAAGGGCAGTCCACCAGCTGGGCAAGAAAGATAATAATGCTGTTGATTCCTGCTGCTAAGATAAAATTCCTTTAGCAGGAAGGGACATACGTCTCACTGGACTTTTCTGTCCTATTTATACTTTGCCTTATGAATCACTGGTAGCAGACTGCTGCCCAAGTGTAAGCATTAGGAATGAAACACCCCTTAGACCCTACTTCCCTTGCTGTTAATTGTGGAAATAGCAACTGACTCGTCACATCGTTTCCCATACCCTGTTCCTGCCTTCCTGGATGCCACTAGGAACACTGACTGGAAGAATTTCTGCTATTTGGCAATGGTTTCAAATAGTCCAGTTAAGTCAGCTCCAAGCAGCCATGGTGGGAAGCATCTAGGGATACAGAATGTGCCGCTGGCTGTAACAGCAAATGCAGTGAAGCATGGTTCTCCAATATTTAAAACTTAAAGGAAAGCCAAATATCTTATATATAATCAGCTGAACCAATCAGGTTACTCCCTATGTAAGAACTATGGTTAAAAAATCATAAGGTTTGATCCAATCTCCTGTTTGTACGGTAGGTATATAGCACTGATCCAAAGCATATCATTCTAAATGCTATTTAAAAGACTTTGGAAATAGTACGTCTACATCCTCCCTTGACAGATTAGTCTCGTGTAAATCACTTTCCTAATTAGAAAGTTCTTTCTTAAAACCAGAAAACAACTCTCTCATGTGGCCATTCTGGTGTCCAGCTTCTTACTGGCCAAGGAGAACTACTAGCTGGTTTCTTCTTTGTGATAATGGTTTTCAAATACATGAACGATTAACTCTGGACTATTCTTTATCCTTCTTTTCTTAAAGCTTAATAACCCAAATTCCTTTACTTTTTTCCCCTATAAAATCCTATTTTCTTCATCTTTTAAAGCCTTCAGTGGCACGTTGGGGACTTAGCTGGTCCCCGAGTCTGGAGGCATCTTGGCCCCCGCACTGTGCTCAGAGCCAGCCCTGCCCCCCAGCACCCCGGGTGTCAGTGCGGGTCCCACGGGGGCGTCATCGTGCGGCCCCATTTCTTCAGGCTTTAGGCAGAGTGAAGTGAGAAAGGCAAAGGGAACAGAGAGAAAGGCCGGCCTTGAACCCAGGATGGAATTAAGAAGACGAGACCAGTGGGAAGGACGATAACCTGACAGCTGAGTTTAGAGTGTTAAATAATAAGGCACTGAGAGGTTCTCTAGCTTATCCCCAAGCCTTCAGCCCCCGAAAGCTCAACACGCCGCAAATGCAGAAAGATCAGTTGCCCGTCCCGTCTGCCAGCTGCTAAAGAGCTCAGCAGGTTCATCCCCGGGACAGAAACCCATGCTTGCTTGTCTTCCTGCATTAAGTCGTCAGGGGGGTATTAGATGGCGTCATCTTGAGCCACAAAATGCTACCCTTATGCACTGCTGTGAACGCAAACATACTTGTAAAGCCAAACGTGTTCGCAGGGTGACAAGTGGCCTTGGAGAAGAATTGAGCATTTTTTCTCTTCTCTCACCAAATCCAGAATTAAAATATGTTAAAACTCAAGACATTAAAAAACTGTATCTAATTTCTGACAAAGAACAGCAAACAACCTCTGCCCTCCCTCCTTTCCCTACCAAGCCCCACCCCCTGCCCCACCCCAGCCAAAACCCTCTACTAGATGACACTGTTCAAAGTGTGATAAGGGCATGGTGGAACCTTAGAAACTTCCACGCTAACTCCCCTCACAGGCTGGGTCTGAACACTCCTATTCCCTCAACCTTGTTCTCTCTTTCAGGACCTGCCCCCTTCAGAGCACTTATCAGAATGTATTACAAGCTTATTTGTTTACTTTTTAAACTGTCTTCCACACTACTCGTCCGCTCAGTAGATGAATGTTTACTGAGTGCCAGAGTACACGTCAGAGGGAGCACCTACTGCTCGGCAGGAGATTCAGCACAAAACAAAGCCAGCCAATGAGTCAACCGCAAACTCCTGTTCTCACGGAGCACGTCTCCTCGGCAGAGATGGACAAGGAACAACTACGTAAAGCAAACATACTATCTCAGGTCGTGTTAAGTGCTAGAGAAAAAAATAAAGCCGGAAAAGGGAGTGTTGGGAGGGGGAGGGGATAATTTTCAACATGGGGTTGAGGAAGGCCTCGCTGAGGAAGTGACAGTCCCGCAAAGACCTGAAGGAGGTGTAGAAGCCAGCCACGCGGGTATCAGCGGAGTATGAAATCCTGAACAAGCGTGCCTGGTGTGCCCAAGGACAGTCAGGTGCCCTCTGGGGCTGGTGGGGAACCAGCAAGGGAAAGAGTGGGAGAAGATGAGGTCAGAGCAGGAACGGGTGGCCAGACTATGGAGACCACCGGCAGGCTCTGAACTGCATTCTGAGTGAGATGAAAAGCAAGCTAAGGATTTTTTGCGGTATGCAGGCCTCTCACTGTTGTGGCCTCTCCCGTTGCGGAGCACAGGCTCCGGACGCGCAGGCTCAGCGGCCATGGCTCATGGGCCCAGCCGCTCCGCGGCATGTGGGATCCTCCCGGACCGGGGCACGAACCCGTGTCCCCTGCATCGGCAGGCGGACTCTCGACCACTGCGCCACCAGGGAAGCCCCAAGCTGAGGAGTTTAAATTGAGGACTTACATTGTTGTGAACAGAACAGGAGGACAAGGGCAGAAGCTAGGGGACCTGTGAGGATGTGGAATATCAACAGTGGTTTAGACCGTGAAGGCAGTGGTAGGAGTGCTAGAAGCAGCTAAATCCTGGAACTGTCGTGAAGGCAGAGCCAACACAACCGCTCGTGGAACTGACATGTGGTAGGAAGAAAGGAGAAGTGAAGGATAATCCAGGCTCAGGGTCTGAGCAACCAGAAGGATGGTGTCACCGTTACCTAAAATGATGAAGGAGGAGAGGGGACAGTTTGAGGAAGAGAAGCAGGAGCTGAAATCTGGACAGGTTCTGTTTGAGAGTCTATTACACAATGAGGTGGAGAGGCAGAGCAGAATACTGGATACGGGAGTCTGCCCTTCCGAGGAGTGGCCTGGGCTAAAGATCTAAATTGGGATTGTTAACACATGATGGAGTTTCATGTCATGGGCCTGAGTGAGATCACCAAGAGAGTGAGGATAACCAGAGAAGAGAATGTGTCCAAAGACCATGCCCTAGGGTAGGCTGGCATTTAGAGGTCAGGGGGAAGGGCAAAGAGACCCGAAAGAACCAGCAAAGGAGCCTGAGAAGGGATATGGAGCCTGAGAGGGCGGAAGCCAAGTAAGGAAAAGGTTTCAGTTTGTGGAGTGTCGTGAGACCATCAGCGACTCGCAGGAATGGAGAAGCTGCTGGGCAGAGGGCCTGGCACGTAGTAGGTCTTCACATTTGTTGCATGCCTACATGGCAATCTTCTTGTCTGATGTTCCTTACTACGTTCCCTCTAGAATCTAAATTTTTATCGCAAAGTAAAGAGCAATATTTTGCACAATGCTTAATGTACAGTTAGTAATCAAGCATTAAACTCAAAACCTGTTTTTCTTCACCTTAAGATTAATCGTGGATTAACCAGGAGAAAGTACCGGTTTTTAAAAATGGATTTAAATTGTCAGCTAAATTCCAACTACTGATAACCTAACTACTACCCTGCTGACGGCCGGCCAGCCCTCCTGTCCCACTGTCACGCTGACTCTGCAGGGGAGCTTTCAGGTCTTTCTCTGTCGATGTGTCATGGTAACTGCCCAAGTGGTACAAAATCTCAGACTGATATGGTTAGAAACGGACGTTGCATGGGGCTATGTTTAAAGTAATAAATTCAGCTGTGTGATCTTGGGCAAACTGATCCATGAACAGTCTATAAACAACTCCAAGAAAAGGTGAGAGGCTAAGGACACTGCTTCTCTTTGCCACACGCACTATCTGAAATCCTAGGAACACTAAAAACATTGAAAATTAAGTACTGAAGGACTATTTTTGCTGCAGGTACAAAACTTTCTTACCCATAACTTATTTCCTCAAACAACTGCCTGCTATGGAGCCTGAGCTTCCCTCCCGAGTCAGGAACCCCACAGTGCCTTGCCTGCACTTTCCTTTCTGTTCACGTTCATTGTATATCGTGGCTGGTGGTGTCCAGTCTGATCCTTTTGGGGCTGTCCGAATCTTGAGGGCACAGATGCTGCCTCTTTATCTTTGAATCCTGTGCAGCACCTGGCACAGGGCTTGGTTCATACGGGACTTTCATGGGCTTTTAGTAGGACCTGACAGCACACCAAACTTACGTCAACCTGTACTGTGTTCAGCAACGTGTATCATCAATGTGTGTGACCCACTTACGCTTTATTTTTAGAAAAGGGTACAATTTCATTATTCTACTGGATTAGGTTACTACACTTGCATTCATTTTGTGTTTACCGTGTTCTGATGTTAGGATTTTATGATGTTAAATTACATAAGTAATCTCTGTGATTCCAATACGTAGGCTTTTTATAAGGAAGAATAAAAGGTAAACGAGATTTTATATATATATATATATATATATATATAATTAGTGAGCAATTGAAGAGTATTCTTAAGAAATACTATTTGAAGGATAAAGGTAAAGCCATATTTAATTCCTTTTTCTAAATCAAGGTTTTTAAGTAGGGGATACTCTTTGTTCGAACACACATTTTCGATGTCAAGTTTTGCTCTTTCCACTCTATTCTACAGTATTCTTAAATTCTCATTTTGTTGTTTTGTTTTTCTTTTCCTTAAGGGAATAGACTTTATGTCTTCCTTGATCTTTTTCTTCCAACTTCTGTAAAAGAGCACGTCTAATGAAATGTCATAAAACCATTTTGGAAAATCACTGTAGAGACTGAAGAAAACAACGAATCTTCTTTGTTAATTCCTAGAGGACAGAAAACACCACAATATGTTGGTACTGACCTGCGGACGAATTTGGACGTTATTTTGCTTATTATACCAGTTGACGTGCCCCTCCTGGCGTGTGCAAATGCCCCCGTTTCATGCGAGGGGGAAGCGGGCGGCCCGTTGTAGGCAGCGCCGCGGCGCTCGCGGAGCTGCTCCCCATGGAAGGTGCTGCGGCTGGAGCTGCCCCGGGGGAAGCGGGTTCGGTCAGGGGTGGTGGTGCTGATACTGTGAGCAGACGGGGAAGCAGCGGGTGCGCGCTGGGCTGTACTGCTGGGACACATTGAGACGTATCTCTCAGAATACTGGCAGAGAAAGGTTTCACTCACGCTAAAAACCAGAAGAAAACTGCCATGGCTACTTTTATTCGGCCCTATTCTATTCTTTCCCGTTACAGATGTGATGCATGGGTTGACTGTAATTACTGTTATCGCCAGAGACGGATGACATTTCAGATTCAAACTAAATGCCTTTTATAAAAATTTAGTTACTAACGATTAAGAAATTACTGAAATGGGGATACAAAGATAAACACTCTTCAGTAGCAGGAATGCCAGACAAGGGGCACTGCATGCAAATTTTTTTTTTTTTAACTATTCTCTTAAACCATTCGGCAATGTAGAACACAGATTTTACTGTTTATCAAAAAGCCTTTGAATTGAAGGCTCATTTCCTATTTATAATTTCAGCCTCGGTGATAGCAAATGCTACAGGACACCACCACCGTGATTAACAAATCTAACTATCAAACATTTTCCTGAATTTGAGAAATCTCAACATACAGAAATACCAGAAAAATAGTCATTTAACTTTATAAGTGAAAGGGCTCTTCATGATCATCTGTTTCATCACTGACAGGAAAACTAAAAGTTCTTCTTAAGAACAAGTGACTGGCCAGAGCCGAGAAGATTAACGAGGTCTCAACCCCTAGTCTCGTGGGGTTTTGTTTGTTTGTTTTTAAACCATAAAAACTCAATTTAACTGAATGATAAATTTGGCAACAACCCTTTACTTTATGGAGAGATTTAAAACAAAATCCTTGAAGAAAATTCCTCCAGAAAATGATTTAAATTGTAAGCAACATTTCTGATAACTGCTAGGGATGTAGTAAGTTTATGTTACAATTCAACTTTACCTCTGCCACAAACAGTGAACCTTCGAAAAGCTCGTAATGTGATGGCTATCTTGTATTTTTGTATGGTGCAACATTTTTTAAAACTCTTTTTAACGACAAACAAAATGAGATGCAACGAGCATGTTACCCGGGTCTGTAAGCTTCAGAGCTGTCTTTAATGGTCGGCAGTGTAACTTTAATAGGATGACCAGAAGCGGACATGGACTTCTGGTGGCGGGGTCGTGCTGAGGGGACAGCGGAAGCCACGGCAGAGCCTGCAGAGGATATGCTGCTCGCGGACATCTCTGTGAGGCTTTCAACATAAGACAGTCGAGAAGACCGTGGAATGTAAAAAAAGAAGAAAAACTGCAGTTTACTAAAATTTAAGAACTAGATTTTTAAAAGTCTAAATTGACTAATACCTTTCATGACTGAAACACTTAGAAATCAACATTAGCGTTATTATTACTGACTAACAACAATATTCTTGTCAAAAGTGTACAGGGTGAATTTACCACCACCTTCCATGGAAAAGATCTCACACACTCTTGTTCTATATATGTGAATCCGAAAAGTATGACATTATTTTTATGGATAAAATGATTATGATTAGAGACAGTTTCCACTTTCCAGCAATCACAGTTGGGTGTGGCGTGTTGCTGGGGTTCACTGTCCGCTATTCAGTAAGAATTCATAATCGTAGCAAAAACCCTATCTCTGGAAACATCATCAAAACACTTTTAGTTCATATCTTTCATCAATAGGTTAAACTGTTGTAGACTAAAGGAGCTAGAGATTAGGATTTAGTACAGGAGAAAGAGTAAGTTAGAAATCAATTCCCAACAACCTTTCTAGCCTAAAGGATCTTAGGTCCAAGGAGGATTCATTTACCTTTCTATGCCTTATAATAACGTTTACTTTAAATGCCTATTAACTGAGAGGAAACAAGTGTAAGAGTGGTCTGTCAAGTTTGCTGAAATGACTATGGATGGAACTCGATGGAATTTTATTAGAAAAGACTCCCCCTGTCCTTCTGTCATATACTGATGAGCAGTCCTTAACTCACGATGAAAAGAACTTAGATTTTTTCCATAATAAAATATTTATCATGATTTAAAATAAACCCCTTCGAGAACTGTATGCTTCTCAATGATCAGTTGAGATGGCTACATTTCTTTAGAGGAAGGAAAACAAAGCCTTCACTCTTTGGATATAATGATGACTTGATGGGGGGTGGGTGGGAAGGAAGAAGGGAAGAAGGAAGCAGCAAGGGTATAAAAGAGTAAGACTCAAATAATGAAGATCCGATTAGGATGCTATGATAGGTTTTGCTACAGGGAATTATTTACTATCGTATTTTATTCAGAAAAATCACAGGTGAAGACATATCTCCTGTTTTCCCTAAACATTTTTCCATTGCTCCATTCTGGTACACATGAGGAGGTGCCTTAGTAAGAATGGTTGGTTGCGATCTAACTAGCTGTTTTGTGTTTCCTTTCCTCTTGACCCATTCAGCTACAGGAGTTTTACCCAGAGCACTAACGCAAAGCAATGACAAAGGTAGCCCTGCCTGTCACTGTGACAGTTACCTGCTGTCTTTTCCATTCTGCAATGCTGTGTATCGATCTGTGGTTCTTTCACAGACGTATGTATTCCTTCTTGCCATGCTACCTCCAGGATACACATTGTTCTTTAAGAAGGAAAAAAAACACATTAAAATATTCTAACTGTATTTGTGGAAAATCAGAGAAGTGAATTTAAGCTTCAAATAACTGAAAAACATCTGTGGTAGAATTTTAATTTATCAGAATCTTATATTAACAAATTCTATCTCCCACCCCTCTCCCTTGTAGGAATAAAAGGCAAAGCATAGCAAGCATCGCACAGTTTTCTTAGTTTACTGTCCTACAGCAGTGGTGAACAGTTGTTTGGGAAAAGCTGGGTTTTATTCATGCCTTTGTAAGCTGGTGATAGGGAGAAGGCCAGGACAGTGGCACAGGCAGCTTGAGGGGACTATGCACGAGAGACACCCCACCCTATCATTACAAACAGGAAACCTGGGGCCCTGAAGATGGAAGGCCACCTGGAAGCCTGTGGGTGAACCTTCTGCACCTGCTTGGGAAAACCCCACAGCCACTGGTGATGTTAAGAGACCAAAGCTCCAGGGTCACAGGCAGGCCCAGCTGAGGACACCAACACTGTGTGCAGTGCCACCCTGGGAATACTTCCTCTCTTCAGCTACACAGTTATACACACAGATATACAGTGTGTTTTTTTAACTAATAAATCACTAATTTTTGAACATTTAATTATTTCCTACTTTGCTCCTATAGATTACTGAGGAGGTTTAACTGGAGATTAAAAATTTAGAGGAGAGGACATCCCTGGTGGTGCAGTGGTTAAGAATCCACCTTTCAATGCAGGGGACACAGGTTCGAGCCCTGGTTCGGGAAGATCCCACATGTCACAGAGCAACTAAGCCCGTGCACCACAACTACTGAGCCTGCCTCTAGAGCCCGTGCACCACAACTACCGAGCCTGTGTGCCACAATTACTGAAGCCCATGCGCCTAGAGCCTGTGCTCCACAACTAGAGAAGCCACCGAAATGAGGAGCCCGCACACCACAACGAAGAGTAGCCCCCGCTCGCTGCAACTAGAGAAAGCCCGCGCGCAGCAACAAAGACCCAGTGCAGCCAAAAATGAATGAACGAATGAATGAATGAATTTATTTTTAAAAAATTTAGAGGAAAAATCCTGTAAATAAATAACAGAAAATAGGGAAAAATCCTGGAAAAGTATAAAACCACCAAGATATTACTAGAAGTCTGTAAAATTATCCCATGGGCACCAAATGTAGCAATATAAGAATATTCACTTTTGATAATTTCACTGTTTTGGCTGAACTGTCACATGAGTAACCTAATTTTGAACAAATTCCTTGTCAGATCATGCTACCATACATCCTTCAGAGACCTCTAAAACGTTTCTGGCTGTCTTCAGTAACACTACTTTCCTTCTCAAAGTGTGACGGGTGAACAGTTTCTCCTTCAAAACTGTGCCTTCCAGGTTTCTGATCCTCACAAGCTGCCTCCCTGGCCTTGTCCCTTTGATGGCAGTGATGCTAATACTAAGTGGCTAAGAGAAGAATTTCTCTACCAGAATCTTTTAGCTTATGTTTAAAAAAAAAAAGATAAGTAAGTGTGGCATAGTTAGTTTAAATTTAAACCAATGCCTTAGTTTTTATGCCTTTTTAAAATTTACATATGCTTTGAATACCCACTATGCGCGTGATCACTAATGATTCTGAGGAAGCTGCTGTGTCAGTGTGTAACAGGAGAATATAAATATGGGGAAACAACAGTGAACAATGCAAGGCAGCATATAGCTACAAGCTAAATAACGTGGTCCAGCAATCAGAAAGGCCAACAAGATCACTTTGGAGCGTTCAGTCCTAGGAGGCTCCATCCAGGAGGCAGGACTCGAAATGATCTATAGAAATGGGATTTTCATAATGTGCAGGGGGAACTTTAAGCAAGAGCACTGCATAAAGACGGGTGGAAACAGCTGAGAATATTCATGGGAAAATATGACCAAGTTGAGTTGAATGACAGGTAATCTAGCAGAGTAGCAGGAAATAGGGGATGGAATTCTTTCTTTCTGTTATATGGGGTGATGACACTCTGGAAACTGTCCTCTAGTTGATGTTTAGATAAGAGGAAACGATGACTTGTCTAAAAAACTACTTATAAAAAATGTATTAAATCTATTATAGTTAAATCATTTCCAAACAGACCAGCTGGAATGTAAGTGGCTGTATCTGTTCATCCTTAAAGTGGTTATATACATCTGTTTCATAGACCAGAAGGTGATGATCAAATCACATATTTTTTTTAAAAATATGGTTTCCATTAACTGTGTAAGACAATGGGTATTGGGGAGTTTAACCCATTTACATAAGGTTATGCTGGGCTTCCTGGTACCTTATTTCATGTTTCTATTTAAAGTGTCTTTATGTTTTCTCTCTCCTTTCCTACTTTCCATAAGCTAAATCAATTCCTTTTCTTCTGTTGGTTTAAAAGTTATACATTTTAGTTTTGTCCTTATATTTCTTGCCCTTAAGTTCCTGAATTTATTTTTGCTTATCACTACAGTTGTCCCTCAGTATCCGCTGGGGATTGGCTCCAGGACCCCCTGTGGATTCCAAGATCTATGGAGGCTCAAGTCCCTTATATAAAGTGGCCGAGTATAGTTGGCCCTCCGTATCCACAGGTCCCGTGTCTTCAGGTTCAACCAAACACGGATGGACAGTGAGAGCCAACTGTACCGATTTCTTACCCTTACCCCTACCTTCCCTTCCAAGGCATATGCTTTTTCCTTTAATTTCTATCCCTATCCTCACTTCCTGGATATTATTCAGAATTTTGGTTCTGAATTTTCATTATTTTTTTTCTTTTTTGCGTATGTTACCACATACACACTTTAATAAGTTAGTTGATTGCTTTCAATTCCCGTACATTTTACGGCAAAACTCGACATACCTTTCTCTTACTGTAAGAGTACTTCCTCAAACAGTACAGTGTTTTCAAATGGGTCACTGTATCACAAGAGTTGAGGTACTTTATTCATAAGAACATGCTTATTGTACCTTTATGTTTAAATGACAGTTTGGTTGGGTATAAAATTCTGTGTTCAATGTGCTTTTCTTTTGATACTTTAAAAATATATATATTTTTTATCCATTTATCTTCCTGCATCCATCTCACTGTTGAGAAATCAGATGTCAGTCTGCATCTTGCTCCTTTTAAGGTCACCTGCTGTCTCATTCTGGGACCTTTGAAGTTTTTCCTCTTTGCTTTTGGTATCCATATATCCCACTTTAATGAGCCCAGGAGTAGGTTTTCCTTCTTGCTTCTGTTTTCCCTTTTGAGACCTTTTAATATGAAGTTTTCCATCTTTTTAAATTATTATTTCTTCTTCAAATATTTTCTCCCTTTCATTTTGCCCCTTTTCCTTTCTATACTCCTATTTCCTAAACGTCACTAATTCTACTTCTATCCTTTGTATATCTTAGTTTTCTTTTATATTTTCTCTTTATTCTCTGCTGCTGTCTTATAGGGGGACGTCTCAATCTATCTTCCAGCTCCCATTATATAATTTCTATAGTTTGCTGTTTTAAGTGGATAATGGGAGCTAACTCTATAAAGTAATTATTGTTGTAGTCTGCCTTCATTCAACAGTTTATTTGTAAACATAAAATTAAATGCACCAATATACTATCAAGTAAATATTACAAACACAAAAACTGAGGCAGGAAAGTTTAATGTACTGTTTTGTGGTAAGGTTAAATGTTATTTTAAGAATTCACAGTTTTTGTTCTTAAATTGCATTTATTAGAAGCTTGGCCCCCTTTGCACATTCTTTAAGTGTATAATTCACTTTAATATTTTTAAACTTGAAAAGAAAAGATAAAATTTTTTTAAGTCTTTAAACAAAAAAATTCTGACAACAAATAACTACAGCATATTGCAATTTGCCAGAATATTTACTCACACTTGGAATAGTTGAAGACTTTTTCCTTTCTGGCCCTACAAGAGGGCTTGTAGTCATCTCACTTTTTGAACCAACTGTCGTGCTGCCAAGTTTACGAGCCACGTCTTTGTCCCACTCCTCTTTCTGTTCACTTTCCACGCTGTTAGCCTGAGGCCTTTTGGTATATGATACGGCAGGGGGAATGGATGGACCAGCTGTAATTTTTTAAAAAGCATAATTAGCTAAAAAGCAACTGACATATTTTCTTCTAACGAACAAAAACTCTATTAAAAATATCTTTATTTGCATACTTTACACTCTGAACGAAGATTAAACTGTTTGATTACAAAAATTAGGTCAGCCCCTGAAAACAGGATTATATTTATCATTCAATAATATAAAGCTGTGATAACCGGGAATGATACAAGAACATAAACATGTGAACTGTATAATGCTTAACAAAAAATGCAAGTCTGGGCAGACTCAGTCTGTCTTTCCACATATCTGACTTTCCCCCACCATGATCACTAAAGCGTCGTTGCTTCTGATTTGCTGAGATGCTCCGCTGGACCTTCAGGTGAGCAGGGGACTGCAGAGTGCTGTTGTTTAAGTCACTGTTGGGCCGTGACCTCTGACACAAGTTTCCACTGGATAATGATTCACCACCTTCAAACTATAAGAAGAAAGACCACCAGCATTTTAAAATTAAAAAAAGTTCATAGAAACAATATGCACGCTTGATTTTTCTAATTTATTCCAAGTCGTACATGGAGTAATCAGAACTAAGAAAATTTAAAAGTTTGGATACAGAACTGCAAGTTGGCAAACAGGAAGGGAGAGAACTGGATACAACATCGTTTCACAAGTACATGTCATCTTCTGTTATCTTGTACAAATGGCTTTGGGTCCTTCTGGGTCCAAATAATAGCTCCAATTATTGAATGGTTATTATATACTAGCCGCCATGCTGAACTTTTTATATATGTTACTTTGTTTAATCATTACAACAAACCTATGATCTACTAACCTGTACTTTTTAGATGGAAAAACTGAGGTTAAGAGATTCAAGAGACATCTTTGGGATTCGAATTCAGGTAGAGTTGAGATTCAAACTTAGGATGAAATCTAAAATTTCAACTTCATACACACACACACACAAACACACACACATTTTTTGTTTTGTTTTGCTTTCTCCACCACATTTACAGAACAAAATTTGGTTTATTGACTCTGATCAAGAAATTGCATCTGCTTAGAGCTAAGCACGGTGTACTGGGGATTGATACACTTTCCCTCTCTCTGTAACAAAGAAGTATTTTGTTGCCAGCAACCTTCTGACTGAATCACTGGCATTCTAATGGGAAATCGAAATTCATATGTAAAGTTGCTAATGATAAAGAGCAGAGAAATACTGATGATGAAAATTTTAATAGATAACAGCCAACACAGAGCACACAGTAGTGTGGCAGGAGCTGTTCCGAGGACTTGAGAAGTATTAATTCCTTTAAACCCTCTCAGTGACCCTAAGAGATAGGTACTATTGTCATCCTCATTTTATAGATCAGGAAACTGAGGCACAGAGAAATTAATTAAATTGCCTAAGTCACACAGCTAGTTAGTGGCTGTGCTGGGGTGGGGGAGGGGTGGGAATGCAAACCCAGTGACCCTGGTTCCAAAGTTCAGGCTCTTACTACTTATAGTAGCTTCATTCATTTATAGTCAATGCAATTCAAACTTCATTTTAATTCATGCATGGGCTGGGTTGTATGCTTATAAAATTAGTGTTTCCTTTATACTTAAATTAATAGGAAAATTAAAGGTCTCAGGAGTGAAATCTAAAATCTAGGTAGAGACAGTTCAAAGACTTTAGAGATAACCATTTGTACTATTTCCCACTTCTTAAAATTCTCTTGGCTTGGCTTCTTTGACGCCACTTCCCTAGCTATTAGCATCTCTACTGAAGATCCCTCTCCTCCGCTATAGTAGTACCTACCTGGTAGGGTCACTGAGAGGATTAGATGAATTAATACTTGTAAAGTCCTTAAAACAGTTCCTGGCACATTACCGTGTGGCCCTCTGATGATGAATCCCAAATCTGTTCATGCTATTCAACTCATTCCCTTCAGATCCAGATCTTTATATCCAAATGTCTACTGAACAGCTCCAACCAACAGGAATCTCAAATTCAACCACCCGGAACTGAACAAACCTCCCAGCTTCCCACTAAGGTTCACTCTTTTCCTATCTTGGCAAATACATCTTACAAAACCAGTCACCTATGCTAGAAATCTGAGAGTCTCTTATCCTTCATTTCCAACAGGTTATCAAATACTGTTAATTCAACCTCTTACATGTCTTGGCCTGTTGTGGGTGCCTGACCCCTTATGTCCCTGAGTATCCTGTACATCCCCCTAATCAGAGCACGTTCCACACTGTACCACACTGTGGACCGATTCTCTCCCCTCTAGACTGACGGCTCCTTGAGAGCAGAGACCTTCCAACCTTTCTATTCCAGTACTTAGCATAGTTTCTGGTACAGAGTAGGTTCAATAAATGTCAGCTGAATGTACCGATTCACTAATAGTTACTATCTAATTATAAATAATTTCATCCTACTCTACAAAATGCCTCCCACAGATGTCTAATTTTCAACCAACTGTCAAAGCTCTGGGCTGTTCTTGACTCTCGATTTATACCTTTATATTTTGCTGTCCCAAAGGATCATCAAAGGTTCAATCACAATTGGCAGAGAGTGACTTCCTTGCTCTCTCTCCCTATTATAGACCTCGACTGGCCTTGAGAATTTCCAACTGAATGTATCAAAACACTTGACACTCTACAAGGCAAAATATATCACCAAAAAACCTTTTCCTGGGTTCCCACCTATACATTTTGTTTTCAACGCTGTCACCTCCTTTTGTTTCAGTTGCTGTCTTTTCTGCCCACCCAAAATAACCGTGTTACCTCCGGCAGGGCTGTTGCACTTGGGCTGCCAGAGCCATTCTCAAAGACGTGACTGTGAACAGGGCCTCTCAGAGGTAAGCAAGGCACTATGCCTGCTCTTTCAAAACAGAATCTCTTAGTATTTGGAAATAAGGTGAGTTCACAACTCAGCAATTTGAATTTTGACTTCTGATAAATAAGAATGTTAGGGTCTTTGTATTATTTTTGATACAACCTAAAATATATTTGCCAACATTATATCTATACTTAGCTGTGACTTAGCTCAAGAAATAATTCACATTAATCTGAAAAGGTGAAAAACTTACTTCAGGTGGTTTTCTACCTAGAAGAATATAAGTAGCCATGACTTCATCATATTTCTGATTTATTAAGGCATCATTTATCTCATCTCGGGCAAAACCCATGGTGACCATGATGTCTAGAAATAAAAAACAACAAAATTCAAATTTTCTGAAAATGGGTTTATTTTAGTAAAGAAACCAACAAAAATGGGTAAGTTTGCCCACATCGGATATGAAAACTAAATTCTGAACATTTAAAGTGTAACTTTAATTATAAAACTTCTGGATTACTAATATACAGACACTGTGTAGTTACAGATACTGTACATCCCCAATTTTTCATGCAGAAATTATCTACACTGTGGGTTAATATATTCACAGGCTACTCCATTTCTCATTCCCCAGCACATCCTTGAGCTGAGTTCCTTTATCCAGCTCCACGTAGCATCTGTCTCTCTGTGACACACACAGAACACCTTCTCTCTCTCTCGACACACCCTCAGCCACTCATAGAGTGGTTTCTCTCATCTCTTAACAATTTCTGCTTTACTCTTTGGAAGGCTTGAATCCCACAGTTCTTTCTGATCGGATTCCTAACACCCTACAATGCCCCTCCTCAGCCATTCTGCCTTCAAGCCAGACAGGAGATGACTCAACTGTGAGTTGCTGATGGCTCTGGGAATGAAGAGAGGGAACCGGTTGGGAGTAGAGCACTTGACTGGGTGTGGGAGGATGGACCCTGCTGAGATAGTGGGAAACAAAGGGGGAGCCAAAGTGTTCCTCCCTCTAACTCAGGGCCTCTAGGTTTTTGGTTAAAATGCATGCTGTGTTTTGCTGATATTTATCGGTCTGATCAGTGCTGATTCTTAAATCAGTCATTCCTCCCGTTAGGAATTGCTGAAAGAAAAGAATGAGGTTTATCTACGTTATCTTAATTTTTATATCACTGTTGCCAACAACTGGTTTAGGTTATAATATATGAGAACAAAATAAGGAACTTGAATTTTGCAATGTTTAGTGTATATCTGGAGAAAGAAAAGATGATAAAGCAAGTATTTTTCAAATAAAAATTGCTTCCCATTTACATTTTAAACACGGTTTTGGTAGACTAAAGGACTCTCACTTTTAGCCTAGGGACCACCCCTCTCACAGTACTTAAATACTTACCTATTCTTTTTGCATCATTGAAATCTGGTTCAGGCTCAGCATATGGCTTTAGTTCTTCTTCTTCATGACCAACATTCATCCATCGATCTTTCATTATTTGCTAGGAAATAAACTCTACATTATGTTTGGCCAATCAGAACATTCAACCACTTATGTTAGCTCTCTTTTAGTAAATGTGAAACTTATTGGTTCAGTCAACAAGAATCGTGACGTTTTCAAACTAAAGTTACTGTTTCTAGCTTGATTAGCAGGTCAACAGGAGGTGTAAGATTTTGGGACATACTTTTATGTCTTACGACAACTCTAACCATCACCCCACAGACTCACCAAATGAACGGATTCAAAATATACTGCCTGCTGTCTATGCTCCTCTAAAAGGAATATTTTCACATTTGAAAATTTTAACATAAAAGCCCACTGATTTTAACCTCTGCTTCATTTTTACATTTGAGATTAATGAAGAGATTTTTTTTTTCCCGGTCTTCCACCAAATATATACCTGTAATTTTGAAATCATCACTTACTAAAACATTAGGAAAGAAGAGATCATGGGAAATAGAAATCAGAGTCAGTAATGACAATATAGCTCAGAGAATATGGGAAGAGAGAACAATCAAGATTTAAGCCTGGAATTAGGAATTAGTAAGAATCAGGGTGAAAACAGACGTTGGTGTGCATTACCAGAGTCCAATTTAAGCTGAGACTGTGAAACAACAGTCAATCCGGGGCTGTTAAAAGGCAACCCAGAGGGGGCAGCCTATGGAATGAGGAAACTACTGGCAAACCATATATCAGATAAGGGGTTAATATCCAGAATCTATAAAGAACTCCTACAACTCAGTAACAAAAAACTGCCCAGTTAAAAAAATGGGCAAAGAACTTGAATAGATATTTCTCCAAAGAATATATACAAATAGCAAACAAGCATATAAGATGCTCAACATCACTAATCATCAGGAAAATCAAAACCACAATGAGATATCACTTTGTATCTGTCAGGGTGGCCAGTGTTGAAAAAAACGAAACTAACAAGTGTTGGTGAGAATGTGAAGAAACTGGAACCCTTGTGCGCTGTTGATGTGACTGTAAAATGGCGCTGCTGCTGTGGTAAACAGTATGGAGGTTCCTCAATAAGCTAAAAATGGAACTATTGTATGATTCAGCAACCCCACTTCTGGGTGCCTATCCAAAAGAACGGGAAACAGGATCCTGAGGAGATATTTCATACCCATGTTCACTGCAGTGTTATTCAAAATAGCCAAGATGCAGAAACAATCTAAATGTCTGATGGATAGCCCCATACTTACTTCTTATAACCACTTTGAGCAACGGTAATTTAGGTACATTATCCAACTAATTTAAATAAAAGTAGACTCACTACAAATTAAAAAAATAACAATGCTATCACCAAGTCTTTAGTGATCATTCATCAATAAAGTAGAAGTGGGGCTTCCCTGGGGGCGCAGTGGTTGAGAGTCCGCCTGCCGATGCAGGGGACGCAGGTTCGTGCCCCGGTCCGGGAAGATCCCACATGCCGCGGAGCGGCTGGGCCCGTGAGCCATGGCCGCTGAGCCTGCGCTTCCGGAGCCTGTGCTCCGCAACGGGAGAGGCCACAGCAGGGAGAGGCCCGTGTACCGCAAAAAAAAAATAATAATAAAAATAAATAAATAAAGTAAAAGTGTCAGGGAGGGTGCACATCAGGAGAAAATAAATTTTGCAAAGCAGAGCTGTAAATTCCTGCCACATGATTTTCCAAAATATCAAAGTCCTTCCTGTTCCTCATCTGCCTCCTCGCAAATAGCATGTCTGGCAGAAGCCTAGACAGTAATCAGGCAGCAGCATCTGCAGAAGGAAAATTCTGTTGCTGGCAGAATTTCCTAGGTTGCATGGTGAATGCATAAAAATCCTCAAAGGATATGATGAACCACTTAGGACAGCCACACAGTACAGTCAGCCCTCCGTATCTGTGGGTTTAGCATCCTCAGATTCAACCAACGATAGATAGAAACTATTCAGAAAAAAAAAATTCCAGAAAGTCCCAAAAAGCAAAACTTGAATTCCTGACATACCAGCAACAATTTACATAGCACTTACACTGTATTAGGTGTCATAATAATCTACAGATGATTTAAAGTATATGGGAGAATGTGCACAGGTTATAGGCAAATACTACACACCATTTTATAGACGGGACTTGAACATCCACGGAGGTTCCTGGAACCAATCCCTGTAATCCAGCCCATCTAGTCCTTGACAACTTTACTCACTTCTGCAGCTGGACTGCACAAATATGTGGAGGTGGCAGCTCAGATAGTGCTTAAAAATGGAAGTCTTGAAAAATGTTTAAAACAAAGCTATAACATAACACGACATTATAACTTAACTATACTTCGATAAAATAAATTAAAAAAACAACAACCAAATCTATAACAAACCCCACCTCTCCACACAAACACATCAGTACAAACAAAGGGATCTAACTGTCCTTTTATCAACACATTACATTTTTGGGGCAGCTCTCTGAATGTTTGTTATTATTACGATGAATGAGAATGGGCAAACAAGAAAACTAACAAACATAAGCTAGACATAAATACTTCTGCTTTTTCAAATGAGCTGAACTTAAGTCCTTAGTGATGTTCTCAAATTTAAGAGCACAATATATATTTTTTAACATCTTTATTGGAGTATAATTGCTTTACAATGGTGTGTTAGTTTCTGCTGTATAACAAAGTGAATCAGCTATACATAGTACACAAATATCCCCATATCCCCTCCCTCTTGCATCTCCATCCCACCCTCCCTATCCCACCCCTCTAGGTGGTCACAAAGCACTCAACGGATCTCCCTGTAAGAGCACAATATTAAGAGTTTGAAAATAACAACCAATGGAATGAGATTTATAAATAGTAGAATCCCAAGTAAGTGGAGGTTAGATGCTGGAAGAGTTAAGTAAGAGGTTATCCTGCCAGGAGGAACTGGAAGAGAGGCAAAAGCCTGCGAGTGATCCAGGCAAACAAGGAGGGCATGTGGGGGACGGCACGTCAGTATGACTACACGAGGCGGGTGCCGGAGCAAGAGCAGGGTGGAAAATTAATAGGGACCAAATCATGAGGCTTCCTTTCAATTGGATAAAGGATATCTTTGGAGAGTGTGATTTTGCAAAGTCTCTCCAGCCAGTGTGTGGAGAGTCATTCAACACTGGAGACTCAGAAATCCACTAAGAGGCTTTCGCTGGAATCCAGGAGGGAGAAGATACCAGCCCGCTCTAAGGGCAGGCAGTGGCAATGGGAAGAAAGACAGTTTCAGTATTTGGCTGGTAAAAATCAACAAAACTCTGTGATTGGAAGTGAGGGGAGAGATGAAAGAGCTCAGGGAAAATGAAGGCGATGATGAGGCTTCTGGTTTAGACAACTGAGTAGAGGCTGATACCATTTACTGAGACACCAGACTCGGGAAGAGAGGTCGAATGGACCGGGAAAGATGGAGCTCAGGTTTAGACAAACTGAGTGTGAGGTGCTTCGGCATATCCAAACAGACATGTCCTGTCAACACTTAGTTTATTCTGAAGCCCAGGAGAAATCTGGGTTAGGGATGGAGATTTAGAAAGCAGCCAACAGATGAGGACAGAGTGGTGGGATTCTCCAGAAGAGTGAATCGAGGGAGAATGAATACTAGAGGCTTAAAGAATGCCAGCATTACCAGCATGTAAGGGCTGCAAAGAAAAGTAATCCCAAAAGTAAATGGGGGAAGGAAAAATCTGCAGAGTGACATGCAAGGCAAGGCGAGAGTTTTTCAAAGAGGAGGCAGCTGTGTCCTGTCAAATAAGGTGATAACTAAAAACGTAATCTGTTGTGTTTACGACAAAGACAGGTGAGTTTACTGAGGGTGGCTTCACCGAGTGGTGGAGATGGGAATCAGAAGGCAACGCACAGAGGCAAATGGACAGATGAGAAACTGGTGACTGCCGGTGGAGACACTTTTTAAAAAGTCTGGCCAGAAAGGGAGGAGCAAGAAAGAATACTGGATGGGGACTGTGAGGTTGAAGGATGCCTTTTTAAAAAAACTAGAAGCTCTTTAGGTATGGATAAAGGCTGAGGGAAAGGAGTTAGCAGAGGAGGTTAGGATGGTACAGAAGAGAAAGCTTTACTGAAGGAGTAAGGTACTGAGAAGGCACATCACACATGCTAAATCCAGCACCGGAATGAATGGGTAAGTATTGCACAAGAGAAGACACCTCTCCACTGCAACAGGGAACTAAGGAGGTGGGTGGGGTTCAGACAGTACCGTTAAGAGTATCATGGCAGGAAATGAAGAGTTCATGACTACTGGTTTCTGTTTTCTTAGTGGAGTAGAAGATAAGGATCTTTGCCTGGAATGTTTCCCCCTATTTTTTCCACCTAAGTTCCTTTTTATCTGTCTTATAATGTCCACACAAAATCTGGGCTCCTTCTATCACTGTCTTTCATGGTACTCTGATCTTTGTGTACAATTATGCAACCTGTCATTATGTAAATATTTTGTGTTTACCTGTTAATTAGGCCATAAACCCAAACAAAGAATGACCTGCATCTGATTTGCTCAGTATTGCATATCAAGCACCTAAACATACCCAGCACTTAAATGCTCAATGCATATTTGTAGACTGAAGGAATAAAACCTCTTGTCTGTGTTACTCATCTGTCCTTCCTCTGTGTTCCCATGGAGCTCTGTATATTTCCTATTGTGACTGTTATCACATTCTACCTTTTATCACAGCTCCTTCACTATATTTAAAGTCCTTGAGGATAAAGACTGTGCCTTGTACTATCTTTCTCAGCACAAATGCTTGTTTGTTGCTTTTGAACAGGGCAGTGTTTTAAAATAAGCCTGGACAGAAGCCTTGAGTAAAATTAAATGTAGAGAAGAGATTAACAACAAGAAGACAGCTTAGGAAGTCACTAAAATGCCCAGGAGATAGAGAACAGAGAAGTGAACTGGACAGGATGAAACAGAAGAGAGAAAACCTGTAGAGGCACAATCTATAGCACCTGATGACAAACTTCGTTGTTTTTTTTTTAACATCTTTATTGGGGTAAAATTGCTTTACAATGGTGTGTT